AGACCTGGGATCAGAAAATTGAATGCCCGTCCATAGGATTAGGATGTGCAGCACAGGCTATCCGTTTGAGCAGGTAAATGTCTTTCCAAGGACAGTGCAGAACCTTGTGCAGCATGGTTTGAATAACTCCCAAGTCTTTTGGAATGCTACAGAAGTTTGGAGCTTATAGTTAATGTTAATTGCTGTAGTTTTTGCATTATAACAAGATGGATTTGATGTAATTCTCTTGGTGTTTGTTTCATTTAAGCTTCACAAGCAAGTTTGTGTGATGCTAGAATGTCCTGCCCTTAACCCTCCGTTCCAACATTCCTTACACAAACCCCCTTATCTTGTATGATCAAAACACAGCAGACAGTAGACAAGAACATTGTCAGTACAAAGGATTCCCCAGACAAGAACAATGTCTATGGGTGCTTGGAATTGGACACTACTACTAGAGGCTTGTCTGGTTCAATGAAGATAGGTTTGTTGCTCCTCGAGGATTGAGCTTCTCTGGAATCTTAGGAGGCAGAACAAAGTCATTCAAGGGGCAGCTGATTGGCCTTATCTACGCAGCTCAATATTCAAGACTTCCTCTCTTCATAAGTTGTTAGTACGTGGGAAAAGAATATCTACTCTTAGTTTTCTCTAGATGATCATCAATGGGACACGTTAAGGCGTCCAAGTCATTGAACTGTAGAAGTCAAAATAGCGGTGAAATTACTTTCTTACAAGTGATTTGATTTATCGATAGGGGACCCTCCCATACCATAGGAAGTTGTTTCTTAGAATCTCTTCGTTCAAGCACAGGTTAACCACTAATTCAATCAATCTTAGCACACAAAGTGAACAAAGGGACTCAGCAAGCAATGTGTCCACGAATTTAGTTATTAGTAGTACTAATGTTTGTAATGATGGGTGTGAATTTTTCTAAAATTTTATTCATTTATTTATTTATACTTTATTATCTATAACATATCTCAATATAGATAGATATAAATCAATTTAATATATTTTGTATTATTTTTAAAGTATTTATTGGTATAAAAAATTATAATAAGTTCGTAGGGTTTTGTTTCTATCTTTTTGTCGAGAGCGACGGCTGCATTCGATTTTTGTGCTTTGCTTTTTGGCGGGAGTTTTGTTTTTCTATTTTCTTTTTATTTTTTTTACTTAAAATCAATCCCAGTCTTAACCCCAACACCACATGCCAGTAATGCATCTCCCACGCGCTCTTTCCTTCCCTGGCTTACACTCTCCAGTTCCTCATCCCGCCATAAATTGTCCGGTTTCGCGCGTTTCAATCACGCGTCAGCGGAGCATGTGGTCGTTTGTTTTAATGAAATCCCTGATTTTGACTGGTCTTTGTATCTTTTTTTCTAATCTCTGTTGTAGCCACAACCATACACACCGATCCACTATTTTTCCCCCCCATTAAACTCCGACATATATATTTTCATTAAATTAAGATTTGTTGATGTTGTTATTATTACTAATGAAATTTGAACACAAAATTAAAAACTTTTATCTTTTAGAGAAGAAGCTACTAAAGTGTCCATTAATGGTGAACTTTATAGGGATACGTGTGGCACTGTGTAAATTTCAAAATGAGTCCTTTCCTCCAAGATTTTATTTTTATAATTTTTGCGTCTTAACATATTTATTAATATATATATAATTTATATTATTGGTTATTACTGTACTGGGGTCGTTGTCGATGTCCTACTACTACTACCGGAGTCAGTGTCCTTCTCGGCAGGTGAACCTGTTGGTGAAGTCCCCACCCTCCACATTCAAATCTTTATTTTGAAACCAGATTTGGCGGGAATTTTATCAAATCCAGCGGATACTCCTTTTGGGGTCCGCTACTTTATCCACACCCCAAGAAGAAAAATAAAAAATAAAAAATAAAATAAAGAGGAAAAAAGGAAGGCCGTATCCGTTAAAAGAGAGGGGGACGGGGAGAATAGGGGTGGCAGTTAAAGTGGTGAATGTGTATTGGTGCCACGTCAGAGATTCAGATTGTACATGCCGATTAAGGCTGGGGATTGTCTTTGGTTACCCTTTGTGGCACCCATCTTGTGTGCCACCCACAGATTTTATAGGCGCCACTTCACTCTACGCTTGCCCCGGTCCCACATCTTCGAAATAAAAATACGTTCTTGTTTTCATTCTAATATTAGATGCAGCAGTTTCTTTTTTTAAAATTATTTTGAAAAATAAATAAAGAAATAAATAAATAATAGGAAAATTGAAAAAAGGAGGTTAAAAAAGATTAAAAGATTTAGGACATAATAAATAAGGGAAACCCTGTTCTGTTTGTGCCTCAATTTTGAAGTTTGAATCTGTGAACTGTTCCCCCAAATCCAAATTTCAAGTGTTGTGTTGTTTCTACCTTCCCAAACATTCCCTCTCCCCTTTCATCCCTTCCTTTGTAGGGTCACTCTCTCTTTCCCTCCTTATTTAATCCTCCTCTCCCACCCTCTTCCTTTCCCCAACTTCCTCCGCCCTCCATTCCCACCTCTCCCATGGCCACTCCCCTTGACCCCTCTCTTTTCACCTTCCCCACTGAGTTTCCCTACGAGTCTGACTCCTTTGCCTCCTTCTCCGACCTCAACTCCCCCTTGGAATCGGCTGTTAGCTCCACCGACTCCACGGATAGCAGCGGTAGCGACGACGACGATTTCTTTGAGGGCTTGGCTCACCAGTTTGCATGGACCTCCCTCTCTGAAACTGACAAATCCACATCTCCCTCCTCCAAAGCTAACAATTTTGAGGTACCCTTTAATGAAATCTTCGTTTCTACCTATCTTTTGGGTGTTTCGATTTGTTCCTGATTTCACTATTTTTTTCATGGGGTTTAGAACAAGTATGTCAAAACTGGCTCTCCTCAGTCGACTTTGGCCGGGATAGACACATGGTTTCGCTCTGAAACTCCTTCTCAGGTGCAATCGCCTCCCTTGGCGCTTTCTGGGGCTGTGAACGATGCTAGAGCCCTTGTACATGCTGCTGCCATAGAGGCTACTAGGTTCCAGATGAGCCGCGGAACAACTCTGTTTCACACTAATGTCCCTTTTGTAAGGGGATTTTTGGGTGCTCGGTCTTCTGTTCCTGTTGAATCGGTAAATGAACTGGATTATGGGCTGTTCTCGAATCGTAACTGCGACCGGAATTTGGCATTTGCGGCGCAGGTAAATTGTTGCCAATGTTCTAAACCCAGCATTTTAACACTTCTGTTCTCTTTTTTTCATTATGGGTCGTCTTACATTTCTGAGATATTTAACTCTCCTCTTCTACAGGCGCAGCAAGTGAAGCGGGATCTGGTGTTGCAAGCTCTTAGTGCCTCTTCTTGGGGAAGACAAGCTAAGGTCGGCTGGTCGGCTCAGCCACACTGGAAGCCAGAGTTTCGAAACAGAGAGGGAACTTTTGTTGATGCAAGGGGCCGGTGCAGTGGGGGCAGCGGCGATTTCTACCATTCCCCATGGCTTCCTCCACCCCGACACCAGCAGCCAACGCCCAACGCCTCCGCCGCCACGCGTTGCATTCATCCCGGCAGATCTGGCGTCAAAAGGGCTTCCTCCGGAACCGGCGTTTTCTTGCCTCGCAAATATGTGAACCCTTCAGAATCCTTTCAGAAAAAAGGTATTCCACAACCTCCCTTCTTCTAAGCCATCACATGGGTTTCTTTTGTTTTTAACTCCATTGCCTATTCAGGAAGCCCAGCCGTTCGATTTCCAGAGGAGATGAGAAGCCCCATTCAAGCCCCACTAAACGGTTTCCTATGGCCAGGCTTCAGTAAGCAAAAAATTCCCCTAATTTTCACTACATGGCTTAAATTCAAACTCGTTGTAATGGTGTTCTTACAAATTACAGATTCGATTTCATCCCGGAGAAACAAGCCGGTTCTGCCACTGCCAAGGAGTTTCCGGGGAGAGGTAGCCATAAATCAGGAGCAACTTCACCTACCTCAGGAATGGACATACTGATTGTTGGCGAAGCAGACAAAGAGTAAAGAAGATGAAATTGTTTTGTAGGGGTTTAGGGATAAAGAAGGCATTAAAGTAAGTGAAAAGATTGAAAAAGGAAGGATTTTTGGTAGTAGGAGGAAGCAATAAGTCTGTAATTCTGTGGGTTATAGTGTGATTTTAGATAAAAGTTGTGTTTTGTGAGGGGAAAACATGTATAACCCTTTACACACTACTCTGTCCTGTGTTAATGTCGAAGGGATTAAGGAAATGGTTCAATAAATAATAAGAGACATATGTTGGGATTTGTCACATTAATTAATTGCATCAATGTGTAATTTTTCAATAATAGATTCTATTATTAAACTTTATTTCAAGTTTGAAATCGAAATAATGTTTTGGCAGTTTTTAGTTGTTTGATTGACTATTTGAGTGGCGGGACATTTAATTCAAAATCGTCGTTTATTCCTTTTATTTTATTTTTATTGCGTTTCTTAATTTTGAAATGGGCAAATTTTGGGACATCCCCTCCGATTTGGTTCTATTGACTTGGTCAAACGCTGTGTTCCCCCAGTTTATTATTATCATATATATATATATTGTGCGTCAGATTTTTGAATTTTGAATCCGGTGTGTCGGGGCCACACATGCTGATGACTAGACGTGTTCATAGGTCTTGCTTTGCTGTCTCCATCCCCAATTCTTTTATTTAATAAATTTTAAAAAAATTATGAAACATATTCTAACATAATTTTTAAAAATTAAAAATTTAATATTATAACTTCAACGATTAAAAAGTATATTGTAGGAAGAAACAAAAGCTGTTGCCCTTGGAACATGTCCGATAAGATTCGTAAATCCTACGCAATTACCAAGTCCAGTGACAGCTCATTTGATACGCGACTTTCTTCCTTGTTTCACTCAATTCTATTGCTTTCTTTCTTCTTTTGGGTTTTCCAATTTGATAATTTGATTTCTGCTTCTCTTCCTTCTGTGTGGAACCAATTGGCCCATTGGACACTCTATAAATTCAAGTGATTCCCGTCGATCGTCGATACCCAAAGCAGAAGCAGTCAGGGTGAGAAATGAACGGCCCCAATGTGCGCCTCATCCTGTTTCCTCTGCCCTTCGAAGGCCACATCAACCCCATGCTTCATCTCGCCCAAATCCTCCATTCCAAAGGCTTCTCCATCACAATCATACACATACACCATATCAACCCTCCCCACCCTTCAGACTACCCCAACTTCACATTCCGCTCCATTCCCCACGCCCTCTCCCACAGCGATATCACTGCCAGAGGCGTGGTAGAGATCATAACTTTGATGAACGACGGTCGGTGTGTTGAGCCCTTACGTAAGTGCGTGTCGGAGTTGGTAGCGGCAAGCAACATCGGGTGCCTGATCACGGATGCTCATTGGCACTTCACTCAGAGCGTGGCTGATGAGTTTCAGATACGGAGGGTGGTTCTGAGGACTGGGAATATCTCTGCATTTTTGGCTATGGTTGGCCTTCCTGATCTTCGTCGCAAGGGCCTCTTGCCTTCTTCGGAAGATCCGTTACCCGATTTCCCACACCTCAGAGTGAAAGATCTGCCGGCGGTGAAAGCCCAATGTCCGCTTCTTATTGAACAACTCTTATCCTCCATTTTGATTCAAACCAAAGCCTCCTCAGCCCTCATCTTCAACTCCTTCAATGACCTCGAACACGAGCCCCTTCTCAGGTGCCGTCAACTCTTCTCCCCTAACCCAATTTTCCCACTCGGACCTTTTCACAAACAGCTTCCACGCACACAAACTTCCCCTCCTCCACAACCCCCCCACTCCTCCCTCTCTTGGCTCAACACAAAGCCCCGCAAATCAGTCCTGTACATCAGCTTCGGCACCCTCGCCACCATCGACCCACATGAGTTCGTCGAGATCGCTTGGGGCCTGGTGAACTCTAGTTACTGCTTCTTGTGGGTGGTCCGGCCGGGGATGGTTAGTGGGTCCGAGTGGCTCGAGTCGCTGCCGGACGGGTTCGTGGAGATGGTGGTGGGTGAACGGGGATTGATTGTGAAATGGGCGCCGCAGAGGGAGGTACTAGCACATCCCGCGATTGGGGGGTTTTGGACGCACAACGGTTGGAATTCGACGATTGAGAGTATATGCGAAGGGGTTCCGATGCTGTGTTATCCTTGCTTGGGGGATCAGATGGCCAATGCCAGATATGTTAGCGACGTGTGGGGAATTGGATTTCTGTTGGGCGATAAACTGGAGAGAGGGGAGATCGAGAAGGGGATTAGGAAGTTAATGACGGAGAGGGAAAATGGTGGGATTTTAACGAGGGCGAAGGATTTGAAGGAAAAGGCCGATTGCTGTATCAAGGAAGGCGGCTCCACATTCCAATCAATGCAGAATTTAGTCGATTTTATCCTCACCACTTAGAGATAGCAATGAATTTAGTCGATTCTGAATCGCTCCCCCCTGCATGCAAGGGGTCTTTGACAACTCCAACATCAAATCCGACACGTATTCCACTAATCAACAAATTAATCCGACACTTGTACAATTCTCTCAGATCAAACAAACGGCGATACTTTTCCCTCGCACGCTATAAATTCCCCTTCCGTTTTCCCACCGCTTCTATTGCTTTCATTCTTGGATTCAGGCCATGTCGTTAATTCCGAGTTTTTTCAGCGGCCGACGGACCGACGTTTTCGATCCGTTCTCTCTGGATATATGGGATCCATTAGAAGGGATGCAATTTCCGGGGAGTCTGGCGAAGGTTCCATCTTTCGGCACGGGTGAAACGACGGCGATTGCGAACACTCGGATCGACTGGAGAGAGACACCAGAGGCTCACATATTCAAGGCGGATCTGCCGGGGCTGAAGAAAGAAGAAGTGAAAGTGGAGGTTGAGGAAGGGAGAGTTCTGCAGATCAGTGGAGAGAGAAGCAAAGAAGACGAGGAGAGGAATGAGAAATGGCACAGAGTGGAGCGGAGCATGGGGAAGTTCATGCGGCGATTCCGGCTGCCGGAGAACGCGAAGATGGATGAAATTAACGCCAAAATGGAGAACGGAGTGCTGACTGTGATGGTACCTAAACAGGAGGAGAGGAAGCCGGAGGTTAAGGCCATCGACATCGCCGGATAGTGTTGTGTGAATATTTCGTGCTCTGTTTTGCGCACTGGTTTGATAATGTCGAATAACACCCTTTAGGCTTCTCCCTTTTGGTTGTGTAATGTAAATATGGAGTGATTTTCGTTTTCTAATGGTTCTAAGAACTGTGAACAATCTTGTCACATATCTAATGGAGTTCGTATGTATATTACTTTCCTTGCAATTTATAATTTGAAGCGCATTAACCTGTCTAATTAGTAAAAAGTCCTTATTTATATGTATATTAACCATGGATTTATGTACAAAATTTCTAAATTTGAGTTTAATCTTTAAGCACTTGACCACGAATCATCATCTTCATCTTCATCACTCCGGCTACTCCCCTCCGATTCATCATCATCAACTGCCGCCACTCTCGACGAATAAATCCTCGAACCAGCACCAGACGCACGCCGCATCGTCGACGGAAACTTTTCGTCACTCGTAACTACTCCAATTTCTTCTTCCTTCTTCAAATCACTGGGAGGCAAGAAGAATTCCATCGACAAACCCTTGATATTGAAATCAACCTCTTCGATCTTCCAAATCTCTTCCATCTTCGTTTTCGAATGCCCCTCGGCACCATCACCAAATCGAGAAAGTGAGACAGTTGTTTTTCCGGCGTGTGCAATGTTCACGCCGTCGATCGTTCTGTAGTCCCGAATTGTCGACTCCATTGTCGTTTCCCAAAAGACGTCGTCGTTTCGAGATCCGCCGGTTTTGATCCGGAGGAGATGCGAATCTTCCAGATGCACGAGGAGGCCGGTTCTTTGGCTGAAATATCCCCAAACCGTATGCCGGATTATTTCGACACCGCTACTACTTCTTGCCCTTAGAACTGAAGATTCCGCTTCCAGTTTCAGAATGAAGCAATCTTCGCCGTTCATCGTTTTCTCGCCGATGCAGGTTGAGTTTGAGAACAGAGTCGCCGTCGATTTTGGATCCAGCCCCTGTCAAAAACAAATCTTGCTTACGTCACTAAACACCATTCAGCGTATTTGGGCCATTCGGGCCCATAGATAATTTTCGTATTTTTAGTTTTTTAATTATTTAAAATTCTAAAAGAATATTTAATTGTTTTTAAAAGTAAAAGAAGATTAAAGAAATAATACTTGGCCACCATATCGGTTGTGAACTGAGTTTTGAAGCTGTGGTGTAGCCGACACGTTTAAGCGCTTTCCACTAAATACGCTATTATTCGGTTTGAAATTAGGTGAAATGAAAATTCCGCTAGAAAATCTTGGATACGGATTCACACTTTAATTTGCAATTAAAAAGAAAAATTAAAAAAAGGGGATGAAATTTACCTGCAGGAATCGGCGTAGGGGGCGAGGAGGGCCACGAGAAGCATGAGAGTGATGCCATGGAGTCTGTCTCCAAGCCACTTTACCGTCGCTGCCGGCGCTGATTTTACAGCCGGACAGCATCATTTCCAAGCACCAAAGATCCGGCCGTTTCTGCCAAATTACAAAGCTACCCATTTCTCCGCTGCTAATTCCGTCTTTTCCGTTCTTCGCCTTCATCGGTTTACCGTTAAAATACCCCTCACCGGAAGTAAACTCCGACGCCACCATCTTCACCTTCCCCATGGCGTACATACTATGAATTGAGTTTAAAGCATGCTCCCCTCCCACTGCGGCTATATATTGTTGCACTATGTACTTCGCCATCGACGCCTCCTGTTTAACCCCAAAATCATTAATGGGTGAATGAGATTTCAAATGGGTTTTCAAAAAAAGTGATAAAGTTGAGATTTTTGTACTTACAATGGGGTTGTCTTTGATGTTGCGAGTAATGGATTGATGATGAAAAGCGATGGGGAGAGGGATTAAGGGAGCGCCGACGACGCCGAGGAGGAGCTGGATCTCGGCATTGCGACCACCAAACAGAGACGCAATTGAAGCAACATGTGAGGGTTTGTTATAATAACTGGACTTAACCCATGACTTCATAGCTTGCCATGAGATGGCGTGGGATTTGTAGGTGGGGCAAGAAAACATCTCCTCCGGAATGGGAACCTCAAGGACAGTGTCGAGACCGTCTTCCCGGTCGAAGTTTGGACAAAGCTTCCTCATTGGAGAGAAAGAAAGAATGGATTTTTTTTTTTTTTTTGGTTTGGGTATGAGTGAAGGAGAGAAGAGAGGAAGAAAAAGAAGTAAAGGAAATGGAAGACCAACCGACCGTGGCCCCTCGTTACAACGTGGTCCGCTATGTCGTGTTTGCACGCTCTGTCTCTCCTCTGTTTCTCTCTTTGTCTGTCTTTGCAAACTTAGTCTGTTGGTAACTTATACCATTTAAAATCCCCAAACGCCGACGTTTTCCATTCTTTTATTATTATTATTATTCTTAATTTGCCAACTTCATCATTACAGTTGGTTTCAAATTTGCTCTTAATTAATTCATTTTATCATTATTATTGATTAATTAGTGGCTTAGTTTGGTTTGTAACTCTACTAATTTACAACCCAAGTTGAGTAAGTATAATTCAGATGTTTTGAAATTGATTGATGTGGTCTATGTTATCACCAGATACGGAATTTAGTTCTTTTTTCCAATTTTCTAAATTAATATTAGTCAAAATCTCTCCTTTTTTGGTATATATATCATCACAAATTATTTATATACCTTAACAAAATATGGGAAAATATATGTTTTTTTCATGTAAAAGAACAACAACAAATTTGACTTTTCCTATTTCCATACCAAAAAAAGAACCTTTAATACATTTACATTTGGAAATTGTTGAGTAATTTAGTCGATCGAAATTTAATATAGTTCCATACATTGTTATATATATAATTAAATTAAAAAAACGAACTTTAAGTCTAATGAACTCATATTTATTAGTCAAACATTCTCTTTCACCAATTATAATAAAGTTTTGACGTGTTAATTAAATTAAATTCCTTCGAATAAAAAACAATGGCACCTTGCGGATTTTCACAGCAGGCAGGAAACACATGAACACGAATCATTCACATTAAAAAGTGGATAAGGTTTTAAGGAAGAACATCCCCCCCTCCCCCCCTCTCCCCCTTTGAATCTCTAACCCCATCCGACATGTCGACGATGGATGCACTACCGATGCCGCAGCAAGCGGCCGACATTCAAATTTGTGTTTGGACGATGCAAGGTGGTCGGTCGGTCAGTGGTTGTTACAAACACTCAACCGTAATCTAAAATTATCATGAATCTTGGTTTTAAAATTTTATCGTTTATAATATATAGTTTTAATATGCGGCGGGTTGGGGTAAGAGACAAAAACTATGGTATATATTCGGAGAATTCGAAAATCAACGCATAAATTATTTATTTAGGGTATCAATAATGGTGTGCACGTTCTCAAGAATGCAAAATCTGATGCGGGCAGATGTTTTTTGGACCGTTACTTTCATTTTTAGCTTTTTATATTTCCTGTTATATTATTTTCACTCAAATCTGTTTGGCTCTCTGAAATAATTTCAAGAAATAAATAGAATAAATATGATGAATATATATGTATATATATATAAAAAAACACAGACATTACAGTATTAGGACAGTCACCGCCAATCACGGCATGTTCTTTGCAGCTCAATCCGACCAAAAAAGATGATGAAAAAAAATCCAATCTTTATCTAATTTAGTTCTATGTTTTGGTGAATAGATCTTAATTAAATTTAGTTTAGACTCGTCAAACTCACTTTTTAATAATTTTGAAAATCATAAACCACAAATTAGGCGCTTATTAACTTAATAATGTTCTATAATGTTACAAAAATAATTTACACTAACCCCAAATAATGTAATAGAAGGTATGCGATTATCATTATTCTCAATAATAGAATATGATACAAGATCCGTGGGTCACATCTTGAAAAAAAGAACCAAACATTATTAAATGAAATATATTGTTCGACACTTGTTGAAGATTTTGTTGAAGATGATACATGAACCAAAAACATTTGTGGATGAACCTTAAAACGTCAATAATAGCTTTGAAATATTTTATGTAATTGATTTGATCAAACGTTTCTGTTATGACATAAATTAATTTTTGTTTGTCTGCTGAAACCAGAAATCCCATTTTGTTGGTAAGGAAGGAACTACATCTCGGAATCTAAACAGGGAATTATCCAGCTAGGCTGAGTGGTTCCGGCATCTTTTCGAACATCAACTGATTGTGAAATTCATCAACCAACAATCCAACCTGTCTGTCTGTCTTCAGTAAGCTATTTTAAGAAAATACACAACAACCTCAATAACAATATACAAACTTACAGACACTTCCATTTCAGGGAGCTTTCGAGCTGGTAACGACACGATATAGTCGACCTTTCGAGCTGTTGCAGAATGAAGAGATAGCTGAAGCTTTTCACTATGAGGGTATTTTGAAGTGAAACAGCCATGATATGACAAAGGCAAAAACCATGCACGCGAGTAAGAAATTCAGGAACCTATGGCCCTGCCAGAAGTTCCGAGCCTCTATAGAGTGTGGTGGCACTACCACAGCTGCTGCTGTGGTTGCGGTCGTTTCGTCGTTTGAGTCGTTGCGTTGCTCAGTTGAATCAGGTTCATAAGTAACAGTAACATTGTGTGCAATTGATCCACAGATCTCACATGTGCTGTAACAAATTGCAAATGGGTAAGTGCAAGCCAAGTGTCACGGTCATGCTCGTCCAGGGTGTGTTGCCCATGGCCGCATGCCCATGACAAGCCAAACCCTTGTCATGTCTTTTCATTCTAGTGTTTTTACTTTTGTAGTTCTAGGGCGTATGACGCCTAAAAAATATCATGTCTAGGCGTGCCAGACATGAAATGCCTAAGAATGTACTATAAGGGAATATGACTAGTTATCAACTTCTCCCTACCCAAGATTATATATGCTAAGCCGTTGTTATCTCTCTCTTGCTTGCTTATATAACGTCTCTTTCAAAAATCTCTCTCTACCCTCGTTTTCTAAAACTTTCTTTTAAAACCGAGGCTAGAGGCTCGATCATACGTCGCTTGGTCGTAGGCGACGCAAGAACAAATTGGCTTAGCTCACTTGTCGTTGGAAAGTGAGTGCCGCACAATTGTTAGTCCGCTGCCTTTAAAAGTGTGATTGTGTCAAGTGGTATCAGAGCTTTGTTAGCTCCTTGACACAGTAAAGACCGAAACCATGTCGGCGACAAAGTCGACACCCAAAGCACAAGCCGACCGGCTTACGCTAATAAAGGAGGAAATACTGTTCCTCAAATAAGTCCCTGACACCCTCCGCTTCCTGGAAGCACGGGTGACCAAATTGAGTGGGAAAGTCGTAGAAATCGACGCAATGGGCAACCGCCTGGATGGGTTGCCAATCGCAAACTGATGTTTCGAGTGACCTCGCTCGAAGAAAGAGTTGCTCCTACGAGCAGTCCGGATAGCTCTGTCGCGCACAAGGAGGGACGTGGCAAAGAGTTCGACGTGCTACAAAATACAATGATGAGCTTGTTCAATGCATTAGCTGATGAATTCAGAACAACAATCGACGACATCCAAGAAAGGATGGCCTCCATGAGCACTCGAATTGAAGTGACCATGAAAGCCGTGGAGAACATCACGGCTGGGCAAGCTAATGCAGGGTCCAACAAACTAAGATTCCTAGATCCTAGAGCCTTCAAAGGGAATCGGGACGCCAAAGAGTTGGAAAGCTTCATCTTTGATGTCGAACAATACTTCAAAGCCACAACGGCTTGTACCAACGACAAGAAGGTGACCGTAGCCTCGATGTATCTCATAGACGACGCCAAACTGTGGTGGCGTACGAAGGTGCAAGACATCGAGGATGAATTGTGCACCATTGACTCGTGGGAGGACCTCAAGAAAGAGTTGAGGGACCAATTCCTCCCCGAAAACGCAGGACATATAGCAATGGAGAAACTAGTAACCCTGAACATACTGGAGGCATACGGGACTATGTCAGACAGTTCTCAACCCTAAAGTTAGATATCAGGGGTACATCAGAGAAGGACAAGGTGTTCTTCTTTATAACTGGGTTACAACCGTGGGCCAAAACAAAGCTACACGAGAACAAGGTCCAAACCCTAGCTGCCGCAATGGCCTGTGCCGAGAGACTCCTAGACTATGAGAACAAAGCGAGATCCCAAAGAAGAATGACACCAGCCCCAAACACTGGGGGCAAGACATACAAGCCACCAGGTCATCGAAATGGAAGCCCCAACAGATCGAACGGAGGTAACGACAGACCAAGCGGATGGACAGATAGACCTCCTCAAAACAACCAAGCGGGGACATCTCGAGGACCTTACCATCAAAGGAACCACCCGCCGACGCCTTTACAATGCATGCTGTGTAAAGGTCCCCACAAAGTATCTTACTGTTCTCATCGGGCCTCTCTCACTGCGCTCCAAGTGTCCATTCAAGAGAGCAATGACGAAAGGGTCGAGACTATGCTAGACAAGAAGGAAGATCAAGACAATCCCCGAATGGGCGCGCTTAAATTCTTGTCAGCCTTCCAACGGAAGATCGAACCGAAGGAGATGATAGAGAAAGGGCTCATGTTCGTAGCTGCGACAATAAATTCTCGACCAAGCAAGAGCACTCTGATAGATTCAGGAGCGACCCACAACTTCATTGCCGATCAAGAAGCCCGAAGATTGGGACTCACCATAGGGATGGAGTTCTTGTCGTAGCTCGCATGGACGACTTTGACGTGGTACTTGGGATGGTGTTCCTCTTAGAACACAAAGTTATCCCAATGCCACTGGCAAAATGCTTAGTGATCACCGACCGCAACCCCACAGTAATACCTGCAAGCAATTAGCAACCAGGTAATCTTCGAATGATCTCGGCCATACAATTGAAAAGGGGACTCGCACGAGAGGAACCTACATTTATGACCATATCACTGATGGAAGAAGCGACCACCGAGGAAACTGTCCCAAACGAAATCAAGGAGGTACTAAACAGCTATGCTGACATAGTGCCAGAGAGCTTACCCCAAACATTACCACCTCGTCGAGGCATTGATCACGAAATCGAACTCATCCCCGGGGTTAAACCGCCAGCGAAGAACGCATACCAGAGGGCTCCGCTTGAGCTAGCCGAATTAAGGAAGCAACTGGATGAGTTGCTGAAGGCAGGATTCATCCGCCCGACAAAAGCACCCTACAGAGCCCCCGTTCTGTTTCAAAAGAAGAAGGATGAGACGTTGCGTCTGTGCATAGACTATAGAGCCTTAAACAAGGTGACAGTACGCAACAAATATTCGCTGCCGATAATATCTGACTTGTTCGACCAACTTCACGGGGCCAAGTACTTCACGAAGTTGGACTTACGATCGGGGTATTACCAAGTACGTATTGCCGAAGGGGATGAGCCCAAGACGACGTGTGTAACAAGATATGGGGCCTTCGAATTCCTAGTTATGCCCTTTGGCTTAACAAACGCCCCAGCTACTTTCTGCACGTTGATGAACCAACTTTTCTAAGAATATTTGGATTAGTTCATCATAGTATACCTCGACGAAATAGTGGTTTACAGCACAACCCTAAAGGAACACAAAGTGCACTTGAAGCTGGTGTTTGACAAGCTGCGGCATAACCAACTGTATGTCAAGAAAGAGAAATGTACATTCGCACAAACATGCATCAACTTCCTTGGACATGTCGTCAAATGTGGACAGATTAGTATGGATAGCGATAAGATAAAAGCTATCCAAGAATGGAAAGTTCCTACTTCTGTATCCGATGTGCGGTCCTTCTTAGGATTAGCCAACTATTATAGGCGATTCGTCGAAGGGTTTTCACGACGAGCCGCCCCATTGATAGAGCTGTTGAAGAAGGACCACCCTTGGTCGTGGTCAAATGATTGTCAAATGGCCTTTGAAGATCTGAAAAACAACCATGACGAGGGGTCCTGTCCTCGAGTTGGTAGATGTTACAAAGCCATTTGAAATATAAACAGATGCTTCTGACTTTGCCCTAGGTGGGGTTCTTATTCAGGAAGGCCACTCCATCGTTTACGAAAGTCGAAAGCTCAATGATGCCTAACGGAGATACACTGTCTTCGAGAAAGAAATGCTGGTTGTAGTCGAAAGCTCAACCGACGTGGGATCTAACAATCCACCCCCCTTCGGAGTCAACGTCCACGCTGGCACTCGTTCTCCTCTCAATCGATGTGGGATTTCACAATCCACCCCCTTTAGGGCCCAGCATCCTCACTGGCACACCGCCACCTAGTGTCTAGCTCTGATACCATTTGCAACAGGTCACCCACCGCTGGTAGATATTGTCCTCTTTGGGCTTTCTCTTTCGGGCTTCCCTCACCACACCCTTATAAAAAATGAATCGTTCCCCTCTCCAACCGATATGGCATCTCACACGGTAATGAAAAAAATTCCTAGCCAAACTACACATGGTTTGGTAGCAGGGCCAAAAGAAATAAAGTTCTTGACAGATCCAACTATAATAACTCAATTCTTTAGATATGCTCATTTTCAACTTATGCAGAAGATATAGTGAAGATAGTTCTTAACTTCTAACAAACCCTTTTGACCATATAAGTGGTGAAATGAAATGAGAACCTAGTTTAAGACATTTTGAACTAATAGATGAAATTGATATTGATAGCTATGCCGGAACTTGTGGAGATGTGAATATCAGTAAAACCTCAAAGAAAGCTATTTAAAACTCAAAACAAAACCATTCAATATTTCAGTAAAACCTCAAAGAAAGCTAAGAAATGGGCTCTAATCAATACTACATCAGACTAAAGCATTTGCATCTACTAGGGAAAATCAAACTTCTGTTCGTTTTGACAAAGAACCACATTTCATTTTGGCTTTGTTCTTTAGCAGGAAACAAAAACATGGATCCTAAGAAAACGCTGATGGGACTTGTAATGGCGGCCACTATTTGCACAAAGCAGAAGCAAAAATCAAGATTACTACAGATTCCTAAGAAAAATTAGGCGTTATTCAATTTGGAGGAACTTACATGTCGCCCTTGATCTTGAACCAAGCTTCAGCACAGTGCTTATGAGCAGCAGCCAAATCGTCCTTGCAAGAACAACCCAACTCAATGGGGATTCCAGATTCCTGATTAGAAGCATCCAAACTCAGATGGCAAATCCGACAATCCCTCCCCATTTTCGTCAAATGTACCTTAATCTCAGACAACCCACATTCCAGATCCATCTCTACAGAGCACTCCGACGCAGAGGATTCCCTTCTTTTCTCCGCCGCCGCCCCCACAATCTCAGCCCTCGACTGCCCCGAGCACTGCCGCACATCGTCGGAGGCTAGTAAGGCGTCAGCGCCGGCGGCTGAAGTCCGGCTAGGCTGTTCTACTTCTCCTACCTCCATTGCGACAACGTGGGAGTTTTGAGTGGTCGTCATCGCAAAGACCCAGAAAGAGAAACCTCATGTAATGGCTCTGTGAGGCCAGAACCGTGCATACCCACAAAGAAAAGAGACTCCCATCAAGCAAAAGAGTAGAAATTCGGTTTAGGGTGGATTTTGCTGTGATAATCAGTAATGGCGTGAGAAGTAGAAGCAACTGCGGTGGGTGTCCCTATTTCGGCTGCTTTGTTGGGTGTCAGTGGCGACGTGCAGGCTATAACAGTCGCAGAGTTGCAGAGGGGAAAAAGACGAAGAAATATTTCGAAGATCATTACATAATTCAGGGGGTTCGTATGGATTAAATTAATACGCCTAATTAAAGTTTGTATGAAATGGGAGTATGTTCAATTTTAGAACAACTTCAGTCCAATCAACATCATTGGATCTTAATTGATTTAAACTTAATACATAATTTGAGATGTTGAAGGCAGAAGCCTAAAGAGTGTGAGAAGCAGAGGCATCACCATCATATTCATAACCCATTCTTTTCCTTTCCTCCATATTCTTCTGCTTTTGGGCCCTGCCATCCAAGCCCCACCACAGCCACAAGGGTCCCCTTTCTTTTTTCTTTTAATAAATAAAGTTAAATCTCAAAATATATTAGAGGAGCTGTCAATACGGCGAAAATGAGGTTGGATTGAGGTTGTGTGGGCTAATTTATCTCCAACTGAGAAGCTCAGAGCCCAATCCAGAACCAATATGGGGTTCAAATAATAGGCCCATGCGTAGGTACAAACTTATAGAAAAAAAAAAAATCCCCAAGAAATCTGGTCAATGTTCCAGCATCTTATATATTATGTGCATTGCCGCATTTCCCTCTCATCACCATATTCGTCTCAGAGAGTGAGAGAGAAAGTTGGAGAGAGAGAGAGAGGGTGTTTGTTGAATTTAGTGCAACTTCAGGAAGCATCCAAAGGGATCGCATTGATCCCACTTCCTACCATTTTTACGGAATTTGGATCATGCCATCTCTTTGGATTTTTCCTGCAGTGTAGCTTTTCTTACTAGCCATTGTCGCCGCCGTGCCGGAGATTCACCGGACCCCCCCTTCTTCCGTTTATATCAGTAAGTTTCTTGCATTCATCCTATTTTTCTCCATTAAGACACAAATATTCAGGTCAACGTTATTAAACCCATTTTCCTCTGAATCCATCGTATTTATTTGTGATGTTTTTATAGCACACACTTGGGTTTAGTTTAAATATAATCTAAACCAATTTTGATTTATCTTTAATGAATTCCTCGAGATTTATTTCTCGTCATTTGTGGACAAGAAGAAAACAGAATTTTTTAGAAATTTAAGGAACAATGTCTATGTGATTTCAATTTGATGGTACAAAATTACGGTTTAGTCTAGATTTTAGGAATCTGATAAAACGTGCTGAAATCAAACCACTAAAATAGTAATATTTAACAAAAGAAAATGGAAATTTTGTTGTTTTCTCTGAGGATTTGTGTTAAGCTGAAGAGTTTTACGACGACAGTGGGTCAAAGACGAGACGTGGTAAAATCGCCTAAATTAGCAAATCCCTTATTTGTGGGATTAAGCTCGTGGACTAGCAAGTCAACTGAGTGGAGCAGTGTGTTTTCGTGGCGATTTGGTCTGAGAAATGTCCCCAAATGGATGCATTCGTTGCCGGTAGATCCACGGCGGCATTCCGATAAACAGGATCATCTTCGGCCTCTAACCATTTTTGCTGGGCTGATCTTTTTTGCAACTGGGTACGGTGCGTTAATGGCGTTTTTGGTGCTGTTCATATGGGCAATTACGAGGAATAGAAATGCCATCTTTGGAGCCAAGCCCCAAAGTTCGGATTTTCAGTACGAAAGGGTTAGCGTAGTTGTAGCGGAGGGATTCAAAGATGTTACCACGAGAGGATGAAGGTTTTTGGGAGATTGTTATCCAGCTCATGGAACGGAAGGTGCTCCTGCCTGCAGCTATCCAAAAATTAGCTGCATAGATTCATTCTAGAATGCGGTCAGAAATGAAAAACTTTAAAACATCGAAAATCAACACTGGTAATTAGGGATTAATTAGTATTCATGTGTTAAGGATATTTAGTAATAAATTATAGTTTACCATATATATTATATTTGATATTTTATTATTTGCCTTATTATCATAGGTATCTTTCCATTTATTGTTATTTCCATTTATTACTATTTCCATATCCTTGTAATTTATTTGATTATAAATAAGATAACTTTCACACCATTTAGGTGTGGTGGATTAATCAAACATTCACATCATGTTTATAATAATATGATGTTCATACATATATTAAAAACAACCAAAATCAATCAAGAAATTTTATAGTATTTATAGTATCTCCGAAGAGAAATGTGTCGGAAAGTAGACAGCATTCCTATCTTGTTTTTATCACAAACAAGGAATCAACGCCGTCCTAAACCCGATTTTCTAACGCTATACTCTTTCACGCTCTCATTCTCTCCATCTTCCACCTCTTCCTCCTCGCTATCGCCGCCGCCGCCGCCTGTCTCCCTCTCGCACCCACACGTTCTGGTTCGTCAAGCTCGCGTTTATGCTGATCCAGGTAGCTTGCTCTTGGGGTTTCCTCGGTTTGAAAATTGAAAACCTTTAAAATTAATCGGTTCGGGTCATAAGTTTCGTCCAAACCGGACCGGACCCAGACTTCTTGAGAAGAACTGTTCCCCCTTTCTTTTCCACGATCTGAGAGAGATGGATTGAACTCCCTCTCAGATCGCGGCTGTCTTAGCAATTTCAATCTTCAGTCTCCTGTTCGATCAGCACTTCCCATACTTGAATTTGCTATACTTTCAGCGTTCCTTTTTCTACAATTTTCCCTCCGTGGGGACCGACAATGTAAGATCCAGTTTCCTGATCCTTCGGCTAATGCACGCTATTGATTCTGCGTTTTTAGTTTAATGGTTCAAATTGTGAGAATTTGTTGTTGGAATTTATTCAGTGCTGTAGCATATCAATGTGTTCATGTTTTTCTTTTCCAGCTTCCATTTTGTAGGTATCTCTAGATTCTTTACGTAGTCGCGTTTCTCAATGAGTAAAATTTTGACGCCTTAGGGTTGGAAGGGAATTGAATATTTTGAATTCTATCTGATTATCCTTTGTTTCCTGCTTTGTGTAGAATTTCCGACTTCTGATATTACTTCTGGTGCGCTCTTCTGGGCGGGAAGATAATAGAGATAAATAACCATATTTCCATTACCGACTCATGCATAATTGAGGCGGGTGCAAAGTGAGGTGCTTACTTTGTTCTTTCGTTTAGCAGTTCTTACAAACTCTTTTATATTCCATAATTCATTCAAGTCATTTATGGGGTTTTCACTTCTTAATTCGTTTTCAGCATCGTTGAGAAGGGAATGGCGAAGTTCAGGGATAGGACTGAAGATTTTAAAGATGTTGTGCGGCACTGTGCTATTTCTTTAGAGTATAACGAGGTTTGTATGCTTTTGTCAAAGTATATAGTTGCTTGTTGATGTGAAATTTGGACTCTCTATCTCTGGTGAAAGATTTTAGCTCGTTTATGACAATTGTTTGGTCTTCTTAAAATTTTCCGTGTTCTTCAAGTTGATTGAAGATGTTCTCTTATCAGTAGCAAGCATGAGCGTTGTTTTTGTACAATGTTTTTGCAGTCCAAGTTGGCGGCTATTCTGGCATCTTTCATCATTCAAAAACCTCGGCAAAGGTCACCTTTTATCAAAGCTGCCCTAAAAACGGTAGGACTACCAATATTGAAGTGTTTTGGTATTCCAAATGTTTGAAAAAGATTTACTAAAACACTTGTGAAACTGAAAATGTGTATGTACATGCAATGCGCAACCATCATGTTTGACTTCTTTACTCGTCTTGAATCAGCTTGAAAGCATTGGTGCTCTTGAAGAGTTTATGTTGAAACATCAAAAGGACTATGTGGATATGTATCGTACGACAGATCAAGAGAGAGACAATATTGAACACGAGGTGACCCATCCAACTACTTGGGAAATCGCTTAGTACAATATAAAAATACTAGTCCATATGGAAATAATAAGATTGCTTGATAGAACTTGTGGCTAATAACTGAACTGTACGCAGGTAACTGCCTTCATCAAAGCATGCCAAGAACAACTTGATATCCTAAAAAACAACATAAATGAGGATGATGCTCACTCAAAGGGATGGCTTGGTTCTAGGACTGATGATTCTAATGCTGATACTATTGCACACAAACATGGGGTGGTGAGTTCTTGTTTATTTTATTTGTGCTAGCTTTCACACTTCTACAAACTTCTACTTACCCTTCCTTGAGGAAGAACAATTGAGTCACTGAATGATGTTGCCCTGTCTACTGTTAAAATTAATTTGAAATTGCTACCCATCACATTCTCTGCGCTCTTATTCTTTAGCATTGGTATTCTCCAATTTTCTTATCAATTTTCAAGTCCTGGCTTCCTTCAAGGTTGTCACTGTTGGTCGGATTGTCATCTCTTTAAAAAAAAAATTATCAGTTTTCATCATTCCTTTTAGTAAAAGATTTTGCATACTTTTTTTTGTTAATTTATTATTATTATTATTATGAAAGATAGTTCTTTCCCTACTTTTGTGTGCTCATATTCTTCCCACACTGCCACCAAAAATAATTGTTCCATTCTTGACTTTGAAGTTTTATTCTTTTAAATGCAGGTCCTAATTTTGAGTGAGAAACTTCATTCGGTAACATCACAATTTGATAAGCTAAGAGCCATTCGGTTTCAAGATATCATAAGCAAAGCAGTACCACGAAGAAAACCAAACCAAATAAATAAACCACGCTCTGCCAATACCTTTGCCTATAATGGTACAGAGCTGAGGGAACCTGATAATTTTGAGCATCAACCTGTCCGAGCCCAACAGCAACTGTTGGATGATGAAACTCGTGCACTTCAGGTAATCAAGATATGGAAGGGAAACAGATTTTGATGAGATTTCGATCATTTGTTGATTGAATCGAGCTTTCTGCTTGACGTGTAAAAGTTGAGAACTTGGCTGTTTTCTTCCAAATTTGTAGGTTGAGTTGACTAGTCTTCTTGACGCAGTCCAGGAAACAGAAACTAAGATGGTAGAGATGTCTGCTTTAAATCACCTTATGTCTACACACGTTTTGCAGCAAGCACAACAAATTGAATTTCTTTATGAACAGGTCAGCAGTTCTAACTCAGTTCGTTTTCTCATCACAGTATCTCTCAACTCTCAACGGCTAATTACAATTGCACCTTCCTTTTTAATATCTCTCAGAATCAAATTAAGTATTCCTCGGTTCTTATAAGTACTAAATTTTCTATTTGCTTTCTTTTCTTAAACTACAAATTAGGCTGTTGAAGCTACGAAGAACGTCGAGCTTGGTAATAAAGAACTTTCCCAAGCAATTCAGCGGAATAGCAGCAGCAGAACCTTCCTTCTTCTATTTCTGTTTGTGCTCACCTTTTCAATTATCTTTCTTGATTGGTATAGCTGATGGGATTGGGTGTTGTACCACATTTATGTTATACATTTCATATAGAAGCAAGAAAAAGATGAAATCACCAAGGAAATTTAGACCACATTTTTGTTACTGCAAGTATTTTCTTTAATATCCAGACTCAATTTCTCGAAGTTCCCTGCATTCATTTTTTGCTGCTGAAGCATGAGGTTTTCCTGACCCAGGTGCACCTAACCATGGCCTCTTTAGACGACCATGTGATTTTGCAGCCAAAAGACTTACTACCCTTCTTCGAGCTATGCTTTCGCCATCAGACTTGTGGCAGATGCAACCGGGTTAAGGATTAGCGTAGACATCTGATGGGATATGGTAACCACATTCTCTCTTTATGTGATTCAGTAACTTTAGGAGAAAACTCTTCCCAGCTTGAGACTCCTCTGTCCAATCGTATTGAATTCGCAAAATTTGTCCTGAAAGTAGATGATAGCGTCAGATTGAGAGAAACTCTTTTCTAATTCATTTTTCATTGTAGTTTCCACGAGTTGAGATTATCTTTCACTCAGTAGACCTAGATTCTCTAGCTGACATGTTCTTTTTAAAAGCTTGAGACCCATCAAATCTTTAAGAACTCATTTGTCTGACCATCAACTACTAGTAATGAGAAAATACTCACGCCGGACAATCAACCACTAGTAACAGAGTAATGGCTCAATTGATGGGATTTAGTTAATTGAAGGTTTTAGGCTTCGAGTCTTCCTGCCATATTCGAACTTTGTTAGGAAAAGTTTCCAACTTTTTATCTCTGTACTTGTCAGGGCTGATGGTTTCCCGACACCCTTAAATCTCCTGTGACCTTGGACAGCTTTATGTCTTTTTCCTTCCAGTGTCTTACGTTAAGCCTTAGGCTCATGAGCTCTTCATTAAGGTTATGGCTGCGCTAGCATGTCCTTTTCGTATCTGCAATCCAATATATTCGCTATTTGGAACATATCGAACTTTGGGAGAACCCATCTTGGTTGCTTATACGATGTTCTTTGATAGTTAATTGTGAAATGGAATGGAGTTGTTTTATCCTCGAATCACAACAAAAATGTGAAACTATTACCTAAATTGAACTCTTTTAGTGATGCTAATCAACTCCTAATTGCATTCACAATATTAAGCGATGAAAACGAGGACAAAATTGATAATGCTAACGATAATGACCTTCAAAAGGATCTGTGATCTAAAGGAATAACAGGTCAATTGAGATCAAGACAAAGGGTGTCGATCCTCTGTTTCATTATCATACATGCTGATTGTTGGTTAATACTTCCTGTTTGATCATTGTTGTTGAAGACAACATGTGTGGTGGGTGTTCAAATCTGGAAGCAAATGTGGGTTTAGAAAATCTAGAATTAGGCTTGAACTAAGTCTGCAATTACCTTTTGAAGTTTGAGTTAAAAAGAGAAGTTTACGTAACATAAATGAGTATTGATGCTCATTAAAGCAAAGTAATGAATAGTATAACCACACCCACAAGCAACGAAGTAAATGAGGGGTCTTTCCCACTTATGCGCCTCTTAAAACTACAAAAGCAGTAAGTTACGATTGAATCTCAACGCATTTTCGTTGTCTCCCCTGTTTTTGTGTGTGATTTGCAGGAGGAACATTCCTGATCCGTCGTCCTCAAAACTCGATCTCCAACAATTTAACGCAGCTTTCTTTCATCTCTTTTTGGTCTGTTTCTTTCTCTCTCCCTCTGTAACGCTTTCTTTCTCTTTAATTTCTTCATTCTTTCTCTCTATCATCCCATTCCTTCATTTCTCTCTAATCTTATTGCTAAACATTCCAATACCCAGATCGCTGCTCCACCGGAAGACCACAGATTCATGTCCTTCTGCTTCCTCCCACTGCTCCACTTAACTCAACCCTTCATTTCTGTATCAAAAATCACAGCTTTTTGTTTTTTGATCAAAACCCACCTCCCAACATGAAGGGTACGAGTCGTTTCTTCACGATCGGCCTCGTTGCCTCCTGGTACTCCTCCAACATTGGGGTTCTCTTGCTCAACAAGTATTTGCTCAGCAACTATGGTTTCAAGTACCCCATCTTCCTCACCATGTGCCACATGACCGCTTGTTCTTTGTTCAGCTACCTTGCAATTGCTTGGTTCAAAGTCGTTCCTCTGCAAACACTTCGATCTCGCCTCCAATTCTTCAAGATCTCCGCCCTCAGCTTTATCTTCTGCATCTCCGTTGTCTTTGGCAACATTTCCCTTCGCTATCTTCCCGTCTCTTTCAACCAGGCTGTCGGAGCAACCACGCCCTTTTTCACCGCCGTTTTTGCCTATCTGATGACCTTGAAGAGGGAGGCTTGGCTCACTTATGTTACTCTCATTCCTGTCGTCACCGGAGTTATCATTGCCAGCGGGGTATTAACTCATCTTTTCTATATTGTTCCCTCTAATTTCTTTGTTACTTCGGCTCCCAATTACTGTCCTTTCTTTATGCAAAATTTAACATTTAATGCGGTTTTCTATCATGGCAACAGGGCGAACCCAGTTTCCATCTATTTGGGTTTCTAATATGTGTCGCAGCCACCGCTGCAAGAGCTCTCAAATCAGTTCTTCAAGGAATTTTGCTTTCTGCAGATGGGTGAGGCTATTTCTTAAATTACTCTTCTATCTATTATCATTGTACGTTTTTTTAGCCTTAAATTTCAAACATTTAATATGTTCCTGTTCGGCCTTTAATCTTATACAGAGAGAAGCTGAATTCTATGAATCTCCTTTTGTATATGGCCCCAATGGCTGTTGTGTTCTTGCTTCCTGCAACACTTGTTTTGGAAGATAATGTGATTGGTATCACACGAGCACTTGCTATAGATGATATCAAGATCATCTGGTACCTTCTTTTCAATTCGTCACTAGCATATTTCGTAAATCTTTCCAATTTTCTCGTCACAAAACACACCAGTGCGCTCACCCTTCAGGTATATTTCCATTTTGTTGTGTGCTGATGCTTGCTACTGTTCATAACATGCCTGGATTTAAGCTAGTTTATTTAGAATCATATCTTCATAAGCGATGGAACTAGTTCCGGCCCGAGCTTGATGTGTTCTTGGTTGATTTGAGATTGACAAAAAAAATAATTGCATTCGAGTTTCATGCAAATTGAGAAGATATCTTTGTATCTTTGTCAATGTCAGGTTTCATGGATTCAAGTTTCATTCTTTAGTTTGTGACTATATTGTTAGGGGCTGTAGTTGTAGAGGCCTTGACATATTCTGAACACCCATATTCTAATATCGAACACGAGAAGATATGTTTGTATCGTTGTCGATGTCTGGTTTCAGGGTGTCATGCTTGAAAATTCCAATCTTATTGTGTTTCCTATGTTTCTGTCTCCACAGTGTTCATACGCACACGTACTCTTCTCAAGACTTCTCAATTGTTCTGTGTCTGTGTTTCAGGTACTAGGAAATGCCAAAGGGGCAGTGGCTGTCGTTGTCTCCATTTTAATCTTTAGAAACCCTGTGTCTGTTACTGGAATGTTGGGTTATACGATGACAGTAATGGGAGTCATCCTCTACAGTCAAGCAAAGAAACGAACAAATAAGAGTTAACCATGGGGGAAGCTCCTCAATGAATGAGAAATCTAAAGTAGCAGTGGCTGCATGCTTAGCAGATGGTGCCATAAAATTTTTGCACTTTGTTTTTGTCTCAGAAGCATACAACACCGGCTTCTTCTATTGTATCAGCAACAAAAGGGGGGGAGTAGTTTAGGGATAGAAAGTTAAATAAGTGACACAACATGACTCAGTAACTCAGCTTGAGTTTAGCTATGGAGGAATATTCTCATTCTTTCAGGATCTGGAGAACCCAATGTTGTATAATTGGGTGGCTACACTTTTGTTATATCTTTACTTAATCACAACCATTCATAGCTCCTCTTTAACATCATATGTCATGATATTCCAAGCCCACCGCTAGTAAATATTTACCGTGTTGGCCTGTTATGTATCGTTGTTAGTTTATTAGGGGGAGGTTTCCACACTTTTATAAAGACATTGGACAGTGTGCCTGCAAAAACGCTAGATTTCCAAAGAAGTGGATTGTGAAATCCCACATCGTCGTTAGTGGGCTTGATATGTTACAAATAGTATCAAAGCTAGATAGAGGACGATATGTCAATGAGGACCCTGGCCTCCAAGAGGGTGGATTATAAAACCCCACATCGTCGTCAACATTTCTTATACGGGTGTGTAAATCTCTCATTAGTGGACGTGTTTTAAACTCAATTTCAATGGTCACCGTCAGACGTTTATCACAGTAACAGAAGAGAAAACTTTGGAAAGAAGAAGATACAGGGGAGTCTGGAAGAAATTGGAGAGAGAAAACCAGTGCTAAAGCCACCAGCAGCTAAATTAAAAGTATGAACTATTTAGGTTTTCTTTGATCATACGTTGGTTTTCGTAGTAATATCAAATTGAAAAGATATTCATTCCAGAATGCTTGTTTATGCACGAGAACACAACGCATAATTCTCAAAATATGCAAATCCTGGAACCCATATATAAGGTTTGCACCTCAAATATCGATCGAATAAAACAGTTTGTCCAAATAAACACACGAACCGAGCCGAAATGATGGTTAACATATATATTTTTCCTTTTCCCATCTCAAGACCATGAGTTTTTAAGTCAAACACATTCAGGTAAACAGAGAGTTAGGTCCAAAACCGTGAATGACGACGCAATAATAAGAACTTCAAGCTTCAGGAACGGAGGCAGCGGGACGCTTCATGGATGCAGACTTGATGAGGTGGTTATAACTTCCCTTTTCCTTGAAAAGCTGGGAGAAGTGGTGTTTGCAATATAGAATGCCCTCTAGTGCTGCATAATTTGATGGGGATATGGAACACCCTCCATGAGAGCACTTAAAACAGGACTTGTGATACGATTGGCTTTCCACTGTTACCTGCAACATATCATACTCTATAAACCTTGGTTTGGTTTCGGACAATTCTCAAATTTGTGAACCAATATCCATGGAGTTGATCAAAATACTCCCAAAGTTAACCAATTGTTTAAAAAGAACTCGTACTCATTTCAAAAGTTGCATCCTTCGGAAAATTTGGTTGAAAATTTGGACTTGG